AGAGAATGGGCTGATTAAGGAGATTTGGGGTTCTGTAACTTGTTTATGCTTTAACCTGCATAGCAAACAGCCAAGCATGTGGTTCTCAGATACAGAACATTTGCACTAAAGGTCACCTGGTGAAATTTGAGGGAAACCTAGGACCTCATACCGATCTGACTTCAAATTCAGACATTGCCCAGGCTGAGAAGGGAACTGTCTTTGAAAATCCTCCAGCTCTGGGTAATATGCTCCTTCCCCAGGCGTAAGACAAGTTCTTAGAGCTCTATGTGCCTGGGGCAAGATCCCATCCTCCCCCACCCTCTCCAATATTAACTACTACAAACCACTCTTATTCCCTGCACACCATATCACCGCCAAAGTCTCTTTATCACCTGGTTCCCAATTCCCCTAAGGCTCAACTGACATCATCCCCTGCTGTCTTCAGCTGCAAACACCATTTTACTTTACCCTCTGAATGAATGATCCATTATTAGCAAAATCTATGTTTTCAACCACTTTCCCAAATATTAACACTGCTTTCTTGCTTTAATAGAGAAACCCAGGTCTGCCAAGGGCTCATAGCTTCTCATCTCAAGTGCTGGCTGTTTTCTGTGCCATACCTTTCTAACACTGGTCCTCAAGGTGCTGCTGACATCTTCCTTCTATTTATCTGCTGTTTGGGGGCCACCTATATTTCACCCCATCATCATTGTATATTTTATGCCAATTTTTTTCTTGCAAAAAGTAGGATGTAATCATTATGTGAAATTTTTAAAAATTATGCCATTATTAAAAACCTTTATTACTAAACATTCTTTGATGTAAGATTGGGATGCACAGCAGATTCATGGATGTGCAGTACCATGGTCACAATTATGAAGTAAAATATGGCATTTTCTCTCCTTTATCCCTTAAAAATTCTCCACATTGATGCTCAATCCATTGGACACCTCCATTTAGTACTACTTGTGCAGCCCTATACAGACTACTAGATCCTTCCTTTTACTCCTTGAAGACCTAAGCCCGTCTCACCATCACTTTAACACTACTTGTTAGAATCTTAGGTGTTTTTGTAAATGTTCAGTTGATACTCTGGTTTCTGTCAGAGATCCTAACTTGCATTTTAGTTTAGCCCCCCTTCTCTTATGACCATACTCCCAAAGTACTGGTTCTTAAAGTGTAACCCCCAGACCAACATGACCAGCATCATCTGCCATCTGTTGTAAATAGGCCCCACCTCAGGCTACTGAGCCCCAAACTCTGAGACTGAGGCTCAGAATCCAAGGCAATTCTGATGAATGTGCCAGCCCATCAGGTCTTATTGTCAGTACCAATCTCTTTCTGTGTGTCTCAATTTCAAGTATCCTCCCCATCCCTGCTGCCTTTCTTTGGTCTTCCTAGATCCCTGATCTACTCCCTCAATTCTTGAAATCCTTCAACCCCACCGATACTACAATTTAAGGATCCCGCTGCTTTGTTACTAGGTCTTACTCATCTTATGTCCTCAGTTTCCCCTAATCCAGCCACTATCTGACTACTTCTTGACACTTGTCTTTCAAATACCATATTGAAAGGGTCAACGAAACCAGTCAGCTCCAGGTTCTTTATTATTCTTGAAACTGCCACTGCACCCATTCCAGTCCAAGAGCAGTATCTGCCAACTGGAATGACACAACTCTTCTCACTTTGTGATACTTGATTCTGTTGTGTCTAATTCCCACACAGCAGCCAGAGGGGTCCTTTGAACACCCAAGGCTATGTTGCTACATTGCTCAAAATTCACCATGCTTGTTTTCCTACCCAACAAAAAACCAAGTCCTTGGAAATGCCTCCAAATTCTGGGTGATCTGACCTTTCCCGGAAAGTCCCTTATATGTTTGCCTTCCTCCTTTCCTTTCTTCATTTTTCGTCCTTGGAAATTATGACCACCTGACATGCTCTAAATTCTGATTTGTTTCTGTTTCTTACTGTTACAATGGAAGCTTCATAAAGACAGAGGCTTTTCTGGTTCAACTGATTGGGCTCAGTTCCTGGGCTCCTGTGTGGTATGTAGCAGGCATGTAGTTATTTGTGAATGGATAAATGAATGAATATAGAAAGGATAAATATAGTTTGTTTTTATGATAACAACAATCCTTACTAGGACTACTTTTGCTTGAGAAATGAAGTAAAGTATTCTGACAAATTTTCTGGGTAAAACAAATGTCATCTGGATATTTTATCTGATCCTTGGTGGCGGGGGTTAGAGTAAGTTTCTCTTCCCTGTCATCTTAATAAAAGCAATTCTGGATTTATCTGCTTAGTTCCTCTTTCTTATAGGATGACAATATTATCTTCTTTTTTAGAGAGAGAGAGAGAGAGAGAGAGAGATTTTTAATATTTAGTTTTTAGTTTTCGGTGGACACAACTTCTTTATTTTATTTGTATGTGGTGCTAAGGATCGAACCCAGCACCCCCTGCATGCCAGGCGAGCGAGCTACTGCTTGAGCCACATCCCCAGCCCGACAATATTATCTTGACAACAATTTTTTTAACCTTGTCTAGAATCATACATTGCATTTATTTATCAGTGCAATGATAAACTCTCTTTAGTTTTCTTTAAAGAGAATAACAACTAATGACAAGGGACACAGTTTAAGAGTAATACATAAATATTTTGTCCCAAATGATCATCACAGGATGGTTTTAGCATCCATTACTTGCTTCCTGTCTCAATTGGTTATTACTCTAATTACTTAAAATAGTGATTTTTCTCTTCCTTTACAATGTATTGCATATTACTAATTATTCTACAAAACAGCTTTTCCATTTTTGCCCTTTATTTGTTTGATGTGAGAGTTACTCGTGGAATTGGGTGGTCAAGAAATTCAATGTCTGAAGTGGAATAAAGGGGAGGGAGGGGAAACGGGAATAGGAAAGGCAGTAAAATGAATTGGAAATTACTTTCATGTGTTCACAAATGAATACATGACCAGTGTAACTCCACATGATATAAGAAATAGTTCTTGGGAGCCAAGAACCGAGAGGACTGAATTCAGTTGGTGATTAGTAGAGGCTTCAGTGAGGAAGTGGCATTTGGAACAAGCTTTGAAAGATTTTGATTAAAAATAGGAATGGGGTAGAATGGAAAGGGTAACATCTAAGGGAAGGCCTAGTAGACTTGGTATTTGATGAAAAATACAGTGGGTCTGGACCATGATAAGGAAATTAAAATGAAACATAGAAACCCTTTAGATTAACTTAACTTCACGCATTTGCTCAGGCCAGTCTCATTGCCTAGAATTTCTACCTTTTCCCTTTTGCTGAGGAGTGGGATGAAAGGTAATAAAGGAAGGAATTCTAGGCTGTAGAAACTGCATGAACCAAAGCCCCACTCAATACTCCTTTCTTCTGGAAACCTTTTCCAGATGCCTAATGAGAACTATGAATCTTGCTCTCACACAGGCCCACTGTACGCATGCCGTTCTGTTAGCAGTCAATACTGTCTTGAGCTGTTTGCATTTGTGGATATGTCTTCTTCCTCTGAAGTGTGAACCAGGTCTTAATCACCTTCCCCATCTCCCCAGCATGGATGCTCAGTGTTTTTTGAATATGCCTGAGAGAGAAAGGAAAAGAGAAAGGTTGGGATTGGGGAAAAGAGGACTCAAAGGACTGTTTTAAGGGTTTGGTGTGCTCTGCAGGCTGTGATGAGCTGTGTCAGCTTTTGCCCTGTGAGGCCCTGATCAGAGCTGTGATGCTGAAGGATGCAGCGAGGGGAGAATAGCCAGGGTGCCCGGGCTGTGACCCCTGAATTAGAGGATGGCAGTGAGAAAGTGCAGAAGGCATGAAAGCAAGTAGTTCCCTGTGAATCTGAGCACTCATTCGAATGCAGGAACTTGGAAAAGAAAGTGAGAGTGGTTTTGAGGTTTTCAGCCTAGGTGAATGGAAGCCTGACAGAGGCTTCCTATCACAGTAGAGGCCCTGGGCAGTTTTATGGAAATGTTTAAGAAGTTCAGCATAGCTCTATCTAGTTTTTCCTCTCAAATGCTCCCTAAACTCAAAACAATATGTGCTGTCAAAAGATTTTTATTTTATAAAATATAACTAATAAAATATTATTCTACTTGAGGTAGGAAGCACTAACTTTGCATTTGTGATATTTTTCCCTTCTCTTTGTTAAAACCAGATGTTAATAACTGTTTTTGCAGCCTTGAATCATGGCCCTCTGAGAACAGCTTACCATCAAAGAAACGGTTGTCAGCTTTCTTTTGGCTCCTGCCCCTTCCTAACAACAGAAAATTTGCTTTGCACCTGCTCCAACTGGGTTCTCAGTGATAAGCATCTTGCAAGCCCAGAAAATTGTAGTATCAAATCTCAGCCCCAACTGTGAGGCAGCACCATCAGCGACTCCCCGCTGAGAGGCGTTGCTTTCCCAATTCCCTGGAGAAGATTTTTTTTCCTCCCTTGGCTGCTTTTTGGGCTTGAACTCTGACCTAAACCCCTCCTTTTAGCTACCAGTATGCAGTGCTGTGGGTGCCAACCATGTCCCATCTCTGCTCACCCTGCTCTGCCTGAGGCCCATCAGTAGGTCAGACATTGGTAGCCCTGGGGTCACCAGGGCTACCCAATTCCAATAATGAGTATATTTATCTAAGGAGAGGAGATGCACCTTTCTCTTTGTTACAGTTCATCACTTTTCTCCAGGAAAAAAAAATGCTATCATTTGATATCTGTGATTTGGTAAATGTACATAAACATTGCCTAATGTTCACAGAGTTGCATTTACTTACACCTTCCTTTATAGATTAAGTACTTTGTGATATCTCATGATGTATTTCAAGAGAAATAAACCTACTTTGTTATTAGGAAGACATAAATGTTTGAAGATAGTCATATCCAGGAATACATTTATAAGCATTTTGAATAAAAATAGCAAATACCATTTAGATATGTGTATAACATTCTAATGGACTTTAACATTGTCATTTTAAATGGAAGGAAAAATTGTTGACAATCTAACTTTATCTTTTTCTTCTCAGGTTTTTCAAACAGGCCAAAGTCATTAAAAATACTCCTTAACCCCCAAAGTCACAAAAAAGAAGCTACCCAGGTCTATTATGAGAAGGTGGAACCTCTGCTAAAGCTTGCAGGGATAAAGACTGATGTCACAAGTGAGTCACTGTCATTGTGGAATTTTATCATTGAAAATCTCACTTATGAAAGCCAGATAATCTGATTTGTTTTTAATCCAAACTTGCAGAGCTGTTTGTAATATCTAAATCTTTTGAAGTTGTTCCTATAACTCTGGTCAGTTCCAGAAGTATAAGCGGTTATGTTTCCTTATTTATTGAGCTATTTTTATTAAGATATCAATGTCTTTTCTTTAGAATGTTTCCAGCCTTCCAACAATTATTAGGATTGATTTTAAAGAAAACTGTATACTTTTTGTTGTCTTCAATGAGACATTTACTATTTATACATGATCTCTGCAGTTTGGCAAGCAATTGATTTTTGCTGCCTTCTATAGCTGATGTCTTTCCATGGAATCTTTCCGTAGGTTGTTTTTGTTCTGACTCTGACCCCTGCTGGTTAGGTCAAAACTAAGCAAGTAGTTGCTGGTTTTAGTCAAACTTGGAGAAACCAGAAGCTTAAATTCATTGTCTAAAATAAGAATGTTCTCTTAGCTTTATACTAAGGGAAATAGAAATTTTCTAATGTTAAAATTAATAGAAAGGAGATTAGTAATACTCTTCGAGTTTTTATAGGTGATGACCAAATTCTTTTGTTTCCTTAAGACTCGAATTTTTCCTACCGCTGGAGCCTGAGAATAAGTGTTTGATACTATCAAGAATCACAATTTTTTCTAGCTTTATTTCTGTGTAGCTTCATTAACACAATGGAAATTTGCAATAATTTTTTATTGATGAAGAATATTGCACAATAAACCTCCCAAGAGATAACTCCAGAGCACAATTGGAGTCTCCTACTCCTAATTCTGAGTTCCTGAGGAAGGGATTCAGAATGACAGGGCTGTGCTCAGCTGTAACCAAGGGAGATGGGTTGCACGATGTAAATAAGGTCAGTGAAGCCCAGTGACTTGATGGATTGGGTAGAAGGAAGTTCGTGAAAAGGGGCAAACTTTGGGGAAAGTTCAGTCACCCCAGAAAACATGTGCTTCAATGGAGGTTAAAGAGAAACTGTCATGAAAACCTGGAGTGGAAAATTTCTGAATTAAAGTTGTCATAAAAGTTAACCTTTTGTGTTTGTGATTTGAGGCTCACTTAGAAATGATATATGAGGAAAAGAGAAAATTCGGAGATCTATCCTTTTTACTGAAAAATTTTCAGGTATTAGACAAAAGAAAAATTTGAAGATTCCAACTGGAATGAGACTGTATTAAAAGTTGAGTAAACTCATTATTAACTCAATAACATTATCTTGTATGTTTCTATGTGAACACTAAAATACAATTTGACATGGATATTACATACAGTTCAAGAATCTCTCATTGAGGGTGCACGTCCACAGTCAAGATGCTCAGAAGTCTAAGGCAGGAGGATCACTTGAACCCAGGAGTTCAAGTTCAGCCTGGGCAACAGAGACTCCATCTCAGAAAACAACAACAAAAAAATCTCTCATTGAATGTTTGCTCTGTGTTAAACACTGAAAGATGTAAGAGAAATAAAGCTGTCATGTCCCTTCTTGAGTTACTCTTATAGGGATTTAAAAAGACAATTAAAACCAGATATTATAATTGTGGTATATATAAGAGAACTATAGTATCTCAGGGTGATATTAATTTTGATCAGAGAACTCAAGAAAATCATGTTCACTAGACAGCTCTTGAGAGACAAAGGAGGCAAAAAGTGTAGAAAGGGAAGGCAGGGGAGAGAGAGAACATGTTTTATAAGTTTGCTCTACCTTCCTAGTTTTGATCTTAAATCTAGTTCTTTCAACCATCCTAAAATAACTGCCAGTGAATTGGATCATTCCTTATTCATACCTCTCAGGATAGGGAGAAGTAAGTGTACGTGAGAGAGGGAGACCCAACATGCTTCAATCCTAAAGATGGATTAACACGTTGTTCTTCAGGGTTGGTTGAACTAATATAGTATCTGCACCCAACCTGGAACACTCGTTCTTCTAACTATCAAGACTCTCGCAGGGACTAAGTGTAGACTTTTCCAAAAGACTGCTGATGACTAAAGGGAATTTGGGTTCTTCTGGGGAAACACAAGGCATGATGGCTCCTGGGAAGACTCCCAACCATGTGTCCCATGGGAGGCTAGTCCAGACTGTGACTGGGTCGGGGTGCTACAGTTGGTGGTTTGTTCACGCATCCATCCACATTTGGTATCAAGTGTCTTTAATCACAGAGTTGTAATCAGGTTTGCCAATGATGACTCCACTAGCAGAATAAAGATTAGAAAGGAAAAGAGCTCTGGGAGAAAAGGAAACCAGTATGTGAAGTCTGAACCAAGGAAGAGGAAATAAAAGGAATGTGCTTCTTACCAGTTGTATTGGAGAGAATATACCATGTTCTGTTTTTTTCTCCCTTAAAAATTTCAAAGTATTGCCAAACATTAAATTCAGTTCAACACAAAATTAGATTTTTTGCATAATGGAAATTTAGAATTTATTTTTATATTCATATAGAATGTCTAATTATTAGCTGCCTAACACTCCTCCTACAGGCAAAATTATAAAATTGCATCCTTTGCTTATTAAGCCATGTTAGCATGAATATTGGCTAAATATTTACATAAAAATTATTCCTATTTTGTTAAGTCTTCCTACCTTAAAATGTTATTTGGTAGAACTACTTTATGTATTATAAAATGCTATAGAAATAATGGTTGCAAGATTATTAGTTTCATTTTCATAAAATTGTGTAATATTTAATTCACTTTATTTGAAAGAAAAACATATGAAAAGTAATGCAAAAGAATGCATATCTTCATGTTCATTGTTTTAACATATCCTTTTGGGGCACTGGTAAATCCAAATGGAATATTAATTAACATTAAAAAATTTTTTGTGTGGTAATTAATTCATAAAGAAATAGTACTATATAAATAGGTGGCATGGTTAGAAAAATTGCTGCTAGATATATACATTAAAAAGTCTTTTTTTCCCATAAATTTCTTTTTGAAATGAATCTTATCGCATTAATAAAAATATACTTATTCCTTTTATTTTGACTTATGCTAAAACCCTAAATGCTTCTGAATATAGATGGATGTCTTTTGAAATATTCGAGTGAAAATGATCGCCCCTCCCCGATACCCCATATCCCCAATGTAGTATCTTATCTAATAATAGCTGAGGTGTCATGAGCTATAGGAGAATCCACAGAACAATACAGTGCATAAGTCAAGGCAGCAGAAAAAACCAAGAGTAAAGAAAACTATAGCGGCCACACAGCTCAGCTTCCCCATGTAGTGGAGTGCAGGTGTGTGGCACTTCTTGTGGATTATGATTTAGCTTGACTTTGTACCCTATGCTAAAGTCAGAGTATACTGTTACTGGACAGTTTTGTTTGATGTTCATGTGTTCACATATACTGTGCCTTTGAATGCAGTAGAAAAGCCACTCCTCTGAACTGACTTACTAAAAGGTACTTTTTTTTTTTCTGGGCTAATTTAGCCCACATTCACCTGGCTTGTCCATTAGGAGCACTGACTGTGTTGCAAGTCACCTGCCTCTACAGCCATGTTCCCTTGTTGGAGGTGTAAACTGCACACTGCACACTATGGGGAACTTGAGAGCTGACATCCCCCTCCTTCTATCATCTACTAGAGTTAATGTTATCTTTTGCAGCATAATTATATCCTACCTGCTGTATAAGTGTCATTGAAATATAAGACAGATATCTGTCTGCCCTTGATCTCTCTCGTTCTTGACAGGCACATCCATCTTCTTCACTCTGTATTAACAGATGACAGAACTTATTGTGGTCAAGTCACTTCTCTGACTGCAAACATGACCTCTGCCAGCTCAGTGCCCATGGGAGTGTCTGGCCTCAGATAATTTTACCTCTTGGAAAGAATTGTCCAGAAAGTGGCTAAGAGGTGTTCCCTTTTCTTCACCTCTCTTCCTTCCTACCCTCCTTTCTTTCTCTCATTTTCTTCTTCTTTCTCCTTCTAGCATCATGCTTCTAACCTTTAACCCTTTCACTGAGACTCTTTGTGTTGTTTCTCTTGGGTTCTTAATGACTGTACTTGAATCCTTTCATTCCTTGGAGATACCTCTTGTCATTCCTGATGACACATAGCAGAATGCTAAGCAGTCTGAAGAAACCGAGTTAAATAAAAGGTGCTAGAGGCCTGGAAACTTACTTCTTTTCCTTTGACCAGCATAATAAAAGTACACATAGTAGGTGTTCATGCACCATATCCAGCTAGAGAAAGAGAATTCTGAGTGAAAAGTTGTTCTTTATCAACTTAAATAATTGTGAGTGCATATGTCCAATCCTGTTTCTAACACTTGTGTGGGTTAGAAAGTTGGAAGTTTGAAATATGGAATATTTCAAAGATTTGAAAATTTGGAATATAAAGAGTCACCAGTGACATTTATGCCATGAGTGATTTGATTAAAATATGTTCAATGAGGCCATTATGACTAGAGTGGGACAGAAGTTAGAGAGAAGAGGCTGTTGCAGTACACACATGAACTGATAATGCCCAGACAGACGGCATCAACTATGAGGGAGAAGGGAGCATGGTTAAAAGACAGTGTTGGCCACGGAGTGGTCCAAGAGAGAGGAGGGATAACCAAGGAGGAGTTGTTTCCTGCCTTGGGGGTAGATGACAGGACACAAAAAGAATGGTATACTTAAGGAGGACATGTTGAGTTCACTTCTTAAGTGAGTTTGAAATACTTGTAGGACAGAAAAGACATTGACATCTCAGTATCCTATTCCACAATAGAATTTTATATCCAGAACAAGAAATGTTTCCTGATGTCCATATCAGATCACATCTGATTTTATTTTCAAATTCAGTTTAAGAACTTGATGTCAACCTCAAGACACCACTCTCCTCTGTCTTCCTGTAGGAGTAATACCTACACTGAAGAAAACAGGTCCCAGTAGGGGTCTGTGTTAAAAACCCAGTCAATTATGAAGACTCCAAATCCACATGTAAAAAGAGCCCAGAGTGCCAATAGGGAAGGGAAAGGATCTGAAAAAAAAAAGAGATTAGAATATATACATTTTTGAAATTTATTTTCCTAGCCATCTACTCTTTATATTTATTTGGTGTGGAATGATTTGAATTCAGCTCTCTGATTCAACAGTCCATAACAGCCTGTCTAAACATAGATTTTTGTTCTTTTAACTTCAAATAGTAGTCCAAATCATGCATTATTCTTCTGCACTACATTTATTTTCTTTATAATTACTTATTTCTACTCCATATATTTGTTTTATAACTAGTGTATACTGTTTATCTCCAGAGTGTAAACTCCCTGAGGCCAAAGACTCTTCATTTTGTACCTTCTGCTAATATATTTTCTTGTAGTCAGCTTTCTTTGATTTTTAAAAAATTAGTCCAGATAAATTATTTTATTTAACTTATGCAATATCTCTTAAAACTTATTTTTAAAGAGGTTGCATGGTATATAGTCAGCTATCACCTGTAAGACCAAAGGAAATTATTTAAAATTGTTCCCAAACAAAAAATGACATATAACTATAACATAATTTTAGGCTAATTTTGTATTGGATTTGAATAGTATTACCAAAAGTAAACTTGATAAACCGATTCATCACCAGACCAAGAAAGACTTGATAAACTGATTTTCAATATAAATATTTCTTCATAATATCCTTAATTATTTTTAATGTGTGTATGTCAGACATTATTTCCCATTGTTAGGTTTCAACTACTTACTGTGGTTATAAATGAATTATCAGCACACGTCTTTTGTGATAACTTAACCTTCCAACTTTATTAATATTAATATTTTATATTTAGCTTTATTATAGTTTTCATCTTATTAGAATTTAATATAGAGAGGTTTTATTCATGTGAATGTTAGCAGCATTTTGAATAAGCTGTGGGAGAATTATAATGTAACACTGCTGGATACAGAATGATTCTCTTAGACACCAAGACTAATAATTTTTAACAATATCTAAAATCATCGCAGGAGAAGCTTGAACCATGCTGGCACCAGGGACAGACAGGCATGAAAGATTAATGTAATCTTGCATATAATGATGCACATTCTTACACAAAAAATCCATCTGCAATGTCATGTCAGTCAGCAGAAATCTTTGATGGGTGGATACAGCTGGGCTGTCTCTTCTGGCAGAGCTCCCCTAGAAAATGCTAAATGTGGTTGTGATGCTTGGTGCCATCTGCAGTGTGCCCGTTTATCCTGTCTTCACTGGCATTTACAATACTGCACAGGGCATCAGTGACTGTGGAGACAGCGATACAGTGTGACAGACTCATTTCCTTGGAGGATCCGGGCTCTGGTGGGCCTGTGTGCCACCCTCCTCCTGGACTGGGTCTCTTATCACTGGTGTTGGCTTGACTTCATATTTTCACATCCAACTCCTCCTTTTTTCAGTCTAGCAGTTCCAGATACACATTCTTCTGGTATGTAAATCTTACACTAACCTTTCAACTAATTTATTCATGTAAGGTTGCCAAAGTGATTTTACATTGACTGTTCAGTGCCAGCTAATATGCTGTATTTTCAAAATACTCCTGCTCGTAAGCTTCTGATTTAAAGGAAATGTGTCTTATTTGGGGAACACTAAACAGACAGGCACCAAGATAAATTCTCTAACTACTCTGTGTTGGATATCACCAAATGACTTATGTAGTTGGAACAAATATGTGACCCTCTTTTGCATAAAGCTATAAAATACACCAGGCAACTAACATGTAAGCCTCTTTTCTATGATTAAAATATAAATATTCAAGAATAAGTGTTGTTTTATGACCCAACCATATGTTAATCATATTATTTTGCCAAACCAAGTTAAAAAAAGTGCAGAACATTATTTAAAGCTTTTATTTATTTATTTTTTTTTTTGTGTGTGTGTGTGTTTTTTTTAATAGTAACGGAATATAAAGGACATGCTCTGTCCCTGCTTAAGGAATGTGAACTCCAGGGATTTGATGGGTATGTTATATTATTAATTTTAATATATATATCATATAGCTTATGTTATTCCATACTTTTGTTAGGTTTTAGCTGCATACTTGGGACCCATAATTTTTAAACATTTCTGATATGTATGTATATATAATCAGGCTCTATTTTACTCATATCTACATAAAAATTTATGGTGATATGTCATGGTCATTCCACCTCTCAGGATCTAGCATAGAAAAGCAAAAAGAAATCTCATTTTAAGTTTGAAAAAATCACAGTGTACTGCCCTATACTTATTTAATGTGCATACATTTGAATATATAATACTTAATTCTGTGCTTTTACCATGTGAGTATCTAGAAAAACATTGAAAGATGATATCATACTGATTATATGTTATTAGTGCTATGGCTCTCTCCTGTAAATTTATTAATAGTTTTAATATCTACCTAGTAATTGATTTTGCTATGACTGGTTGAGGTAAATATTTTGGAAAAACAAATAAATTATTTCCAGAATGATGTATTTCCAAGTTTCCAATGCATTGTGGGAGTATGCAGGGTTTCTCATTGGTATGTCAACCTTAGAAATATTAGAACATTGGAACAAGGCAAACAACACACCCTTTTTAAAAATCAGGTAAATTGATTTGCGAAAGTGTTAGATTGATGAATAAGACTAAAACATATTACTTCAGGGGAGAATTATTTATTTTTTACAGGAGGGACTATCTGAGAGTTTAAAAGGGTGGTGTGTGACTTAATTGTGTCACATTGTGATGAGCAGGGGTTGACAAAGGATCCACAAGGTCAGGAAAGGCATTTGGGACTCCGTTTTTATGAATGTGAAAGACTAATCTTCCTAAAGAAATATTCGTATTTGTAGAGGGAAGAGATGTGCTCAAAATGAAGCATTGACAGTGTTGTTTTCAGAAATGCTTAATATAGTTTGATGAGAAAACAAGCTGATGAAGAAGAAAGTTTGGTAAATAAAATATGATTTAGCACAAAGACAGTGGAGAAGACTAAATCTAGATGGCAATATCACATAAGATCAAGAGTATGAGATAGGCAGTTACTTTAGAACTTTGTACTTAGAAGCAAACAGAAGGAGCAATAAGCTACATTTAGGAAATTATCTTAAAAGCTATTTAAGCTAATTATCTTTAAACTGTTTCTTAAAACAGTTTAAAGGAAAGTAATTGGGAGAATCATGCCCACCATCTCCCTCAATATGCTGCATAGTCCTGAGCCAGGAATACATGAGGGTAGCTGCATTACAAAAAGAGTCTTTACTTTAAAACTTGAATATGTGAATGATAAGAGTAACAGGTATCACAGATACTAACCCTGGAGCTGTCCACGAGTGACATGGAATATTCTGTCCAATGTGGTATCTATAAATGTGTTCTATTGGTATGGCAAGGATTAAGAAGAACTTTGCTGAATCTGAAGAAAAACTATTGCTCAAATGTGGTTTAGGAATATTTTTCTCTTTACATGAACATATTCAATTCTTTATTTCCCATGCAGTTTTGAATTGTGGTGCTAAGAGATACTTAGATCCTTAGTTATTACTTGTATATTCTTCAGCCAAAGGTGTGTGACCTGACCAATAAATGAAATGAGTTTGGTGATTTAACTATTTCCAAACCCTATAATATGCAAATACACTTTGGACTTATAATTTTTTACTGGAAATCTATGTTCCTAAATGCTTCAAATAGTTCATTTGTTTTCATGGGTTTAGTTTTTCCAGTAGGAGCTGGTGATCGGGATAATTATCTTAATAAAATGGTAATTTTTAAGTCCCCATACTTAGAAATATGTAGAGAGGTATATGGGGAGAAGAATAAAAACATAATTTTATTCACTATGCACTTCAAAAGGATTAGTCTCTAGCAAGTAGAATTTTCTGAAACTGAGTGTTCTGCATCGGCGAGTTCCCTGTCCTTGACTGTGTTCTAAGAGTGGTCATAAAAGCACTTTTCAAACAATTTAGTTTAAGGATGGGATAAGGTAACCCACGATGCTATTTCATTTTGATAGGAGATCAACTCACATTATCTTAAGAAATTTGCCCTGAAGCATCTCTTCCTTACTCTAGTGGAGCTATTGATACGAAGTGATTAGGAAGTCAATAAATGGCTTCTAGACAGGCTAGAGAGAGCCAAGAAAAATTCAATGGATATTATCCTCAAAGGGAAATTGCATGGAAATGGAAGGAGACCCTCATTGTTATACAAAATTACATACAAGAGGAAGTGAGGGGAAAGGGAAAAAAACAAGGGGGAGAAATGAATTACAGTAGATGGGGTAGAGAGAGAAGATGGGAGGGGAGGGGAGGGGAGGGGGGATAGTAGAGGATAGGAAAGGCCGCAGAATACAACAGACACTAGTATGGCAATATGTAAAACAGTGGATGTGTAACCGATGTGATTCTGCAATCTGTATATGGGGTAAAAATGGGAGTTCATAACCCACTTGAATCAAATGTGTGAAATATGTTATGTCAAGAACTATGTAATGTTTTGAACAACCAACAATAAAAATTAAAAAAAATTCCTTCATAAAAGGAAAAAAAAAGAAAAATGATTTAATGAATAATGTTTAAGAAATGCTATTTATTTCCCAAGATTTTAGGGTACTTTTAATGAGTTATATATATATTTCTATGAAATTGTGACATGTTTCTAAAGCCCACAGAAACAGCACATCAGCATGCGTGACAGCTAGTGCCCACTTTGGTGTGTTCTAGCAAACACTTAGATCCACTGCTAAAACTTGGAGGAACTTCATATTCCATATTGCCCGTGTTTGTTGGTCATGAAGAGGAAGTAATATCAACTGCACATACTTGGAGCACTAACAGTTACATTTACAAATGCGAATATACTTAAACCAATCTGTAGATTTTACAACCATGGACAATTATAAATTTACTAAGCATTTACTATTTGTTTCAGTGTATTGAGTTTGTTGAATTAGTTTTTTCTTTGGTTCCTTCTACTATTAACTAGACCCACATAATCTAGATTTTATTTGGCTAATGTTTACATTTTATCAGATCAACCATGATATCTGTACTACTTAAGTAGAAATACATCTTTCAGAAAAATGAAAAACATTGAATCAAAAATCAATACTATACTCAACATTTCAAAGATGTCAGTTGATAGATCAATTTATAAACTGCTATTGAAATTTTTTCCTTGTCACCATTTCAAAAGGGAAATAAAATATTAACCTTCAATTTTACTTTTCTAGACTAAATCATTCCACATGGAACCATGGCAATAAGGAGTTTACTTATTCTAAAAACAAGAAGATATTCCATATGGAAAGGAATAATTACTATAGGGTTTATGTTTTAGAGTAACTTTTAAGTGTGATTAAATTAAATTTATATAGAAAGTTGAATATTTTTTTCCCTTAGGGTATGCAACCTCTTGTGATATTTTTGTATTAAGCCTTAATTAAGTCTATCCCTTAGGTTGAAGAACTATACCTGAACATAACCTTAATGTTCTAGTAGTGGTTGACATAAATAAATATATATCTTCCTGAGTCATTCAATTTTGATCTGGTTTTATGGGTTTTCAAACTAATTTTCAGAGTAACAAAAATTCTCCTGAGGCTGCTTTCATTGTTTTTTCTATGTAGAAAAGAATATAGTGAATAATAGTGCTGTCTTTAAGGGCAAATTTTCTTGTTTCAAATCCCTGTTCTACCACTTACTAGTGATATGACCATGGAAAAAGTACTTAATCTTTCTATGCTTAGTTTCCTAATCTGTAATTGGAGGCCATAGCATTTCTTGTATACATCTATGGCTCAAGTTAAATGAGGTAACACATGGAGAGTGCTGAGAACAGTGCCTAATTTTATATAGTGATGATTCACTATTAGTTTCAAAATATTTAACAGTGCATGTTATGACAAAATTTCAAAGATTTTTGTAGGAGAGCATATTATGGAAAGGCCATCTCTGCTAACTCCAGCAATGAGTTAACAGATGCCCAATGGTATAACTGTATGCAAGATTCCAGGAGTTGAGTATTGCCATCCTGTGTACATAGGAGTCAAGTTCTTTAGTGCAAAATTAAATGCTTTTTGGATGACTTTATGTTGTCCTTTTAGATCACACATAAATATCAGCATGTATACTGGTATGGATCATATGGACTATACTAAATTCATAAAATGTTTGGAAATCTAATGGAGATTTTTAAAATCAATGGGAAATATTCAAACCACACTTTGGTTTCTACATTTATAAAGATGGAGTCAATGGCTAATGCACAGAATTATGAGGATTTAATAGTAAAGGATAAGCATATCTGACATATAGTTTGTCCCTAGTAGGTAATTATTTTAGTCAGCTTTTTTTTGTTGCTGTGAACATAAGTCCCCAAAAGAACAATTTTAAAGGAGGAAAAGTTTATGGGTGCTCACAGTTTCAGAGGTCTCAGTCCAAGATTGACCAACTCTATTTTTCTGGGCCCAAGGTGAAGCAGAATATCACGGTGGAAGAGTGTGGAGGAGGAAAGCAGCTCAGGATATGGTAACAATGACAAGCAGAGTGCTCAGTTCATCAAGGATAAAATATATATCCCAAAGGCATGACTTCCATAAACTACCTCCTCCAGCCATACCCTACCTGCCTTGAGTTACCACCCAGTTAATTCCTATCAGGGTATTAATCTACTGATTTCATTATAACTCACTTTATCTAATTGTTTAACCTTTGAACCTTCTTTCATTGTCTCTCACAGGAGCTTTTGGGAGGCATCTCACATTTAAGTCATAACAGATAGTATCCCCTTTCTCTGAATCAGTCAACACATTGTAAAAACCTGGAATTCATTCAAACATAAAACAGTAAGGACAATGCCATGAAGAAAAAAAAAAAAGAAAGAAGAGCTGAATCTTTCTTATAACCACAGTGGACCGGGATTGCCTAGCCCTTGTGGGTGTTGACCTCAATTAGGAGAGGGGACTGGAAGGTAGAAGGAAATGATGCTTTCAGTATCTTTAAGAACCTCTCTCTGATTATACCCCATAGGCTGTTTTGTTTGGCACTTGGTTTTTAAAAATGTAACAAAGGCTAGTTGCTGGTATTTATAAATTAGGAGACTTACCCTAAAATCAGAATCTTTGGTTTTTCTAGAAAAATCCTATCTGCTTTTGCTCAGCCTCCCACATGATATGAAGGGACTGTAGTAGAAAAGCTGCCACCTCTTCAGAATGATCACGTTTTCTTACTGGCCCTTGAAGACCTTAAGTTTTGACACCTACTTTCCATAATGAGAAATCTTCCTCCTTTTGGGTAAATTGATAACATTTTGATAGTGAAGATTATTTTGCATCTTTTAAATAGAAGTACTATGAAAAAAAATCAGATATCAGTTTTGTGTATCTTTCTCTCCCCAAATCTACTTACCATAAGACTTCAAAATAAATAAATAAATAAATAAATAAAAATCAGCAGTACTATCTATAATCAAAGGGTAGTGACAGTACATTTAGAAGTGCATATAGCAGGAATGTCAATGAAAACCAGGTCAGGTTTGCAATTAGTATATTCATGTACTAGTGATAATTAGCAGTTCCTTCAATGAAAGCTTCATATTTTACATGATTTTTTTTATTGCTGTCATTTCAGAGTTTTATTGAGAATTAGCTGAATTTTATGACTTTGGTTGGTGTGAAAGGAATTGTAGGTGACAGTATTATTAACAAACAGAATGAGAATTGTATGCTTTTGAAAGATGTGAATTAACATGTTCAAAAGTTTTAATGCCTCAATGCACATAAAAATATTTTGTCTGTGGGGACTATCCAGGTTTTCTACTTAGAGTAACTTTACCTTTTCAGTGCTTGTGTCTTCTTAGCCATTGATTATACTACAAATAGAAGGTGAGTATGAGTCTTGCATATGACTATGTAAGATTAGTAAAATATTCAGAAGTCTAGATTTTGTGAGTAATTACCAATTATTTTGAAATTCTTGTTTTTGATTAATTTCTTTTTTCTAGTGTTGTATGTGTTGGTGGGGATGGATCTGCTAGTGAAGTAGTCCATGCTTTGCTTCTCAGAGCCCAGAAGAGTGCTGGGATAGAAACAGACCAAATCCTAACTCCTGTCAGAGCACAGCTTCCACTCGGCTTAATACCAGCAGGCAAGTGGGTGGCCATGTATATGTTAAATTGACTCTCCTCCATCATTCCCTTTCCTACTTCCTAACCTAGTCAGTATGTATAAACCTTGAGTCTGAAAGACCCAAGATTGACTTCTGGCATCTCCACGAGCAAATGTGAGTCTTTGAACAATGCAATCTCTTTGAGCCTAGTTTTTCTATCTATAAAGTGGGGATAACTCATAATATTTACTTCATTACAGATTTGTTGTAGTACTAAATAAGATGGCATGTACTATGGGTTAAAAACATAGTTTAAACAATCAATAGATGAAATTAATATATTCTGCCTTCCATAGACAAGTCTAATGGTTACGTAGTACTAGATAGGAAGTTTCAAAATGGGACACCCATCAGTCAAATAGTTTTAAATTTCATACAAGGTAATATGTGGAACTCGTGCAATTGAACTAATCAGAAAACCTTGAATATCCAAAGATTCCTTCCAACTAGAACGAGGATCCAAGCCCTAGAGGGTGAGCTCCATCAAGGCCAGACTGGTTATCTTTCCATCCACTACCATATTTCCAATGCCTGGAAGAGAATATAACACAGTGCAGGATAGTTTCTCAAGTGAATGAATATAAAGATGACTTTCTAGAGCAAATAGCAATTGAATCAGGCCTTAAAGTGGGTAGGCTCTCTGGCCTAAAAAGATCAGTAAGCTATTTATTTTTTTAGCTACAAAAAATAATAACAGCAAAACCCAGAAGTGCTTATGAAATGGAAAACAGGCCATTGGATGGGAGATAATAGTGTCAAAATGGGCCAGACTGAAGCCACAGGGTCTGAATTGTATTTAAGAAGCAGTAGGGAACAATGGGTTGCTCCAGATCAAGGGAGCAACCTGATGGAGTTTGTTCTAGGAGAATTCATTTTGTAGCAAGACTTGGAATCATTACTGGAAGTGGGCATGAGGAGGTGGAAGCCAGGGAGAACTGCTAGAGCCAAACCCTGGTCCAGAAAAGAAAACACTTTCTGCAAGCTTCACCCTAAATTATTATTTAAATAAACAACAATGAAGGAAATTGATTTTTTTTTCATTCTTAAAACATCATGCCCTGTTTTTAAAAGGAGGAAAAATTTTTCATTCTGAAAATAATGCACATGGTTAGAAGAAAATTTATTCTATTGATAGCCATGACTTTTAGAATATTTAATATTGCTGCTAAATTGACCAAGGACCAAAGATGGCCAAATGTCTTTTGAGAGTATAAAATCATAAAAACAAGAATGTAAAAATGGAGATTATTAGGATAAATTATGATATAATTGTAAGTTAGAAAAAGTAGAAAAATCTATAATGGTCCATAAGTGGAAGATAACAAATAACCTCAATTCAAAGGAGGAAAAAGATGAATTATTTGGGGATTTTTTAAATGTCTTTTGTTGTTGTTATCATTTTTGTAGTTCTGAATGCAGTTAGTGTAACCCTTCCAACATGTCCCTCCATGAAAAATGGATGTGTTTAGTAAGTCACTGTTTTTCTTCATTAGAGCCTAAATTCCTGAGGTCATGAGCTGCCATGCATCAAAAGTGGAAAAGGGTGTCCCAAGAAGTATGCATTTGGCATAAAGTGGGCACTTAGCTACGCTAGCTATGCTTATGTTTTTAATATGCAACTATGATTTAATAAAGAAATAGCATTACATTTTTATATTTTAAAGCAAATTTCTAATTTCAAAAATAAACTGTATTCAGTGGGTATCTGTGGAAACACCATTGTAATGCTTTTTGTTTAAAAGATGACAGCATGCTGCCAAAATTCTGGTTGTTGGATAGGAGTTCCAGCTTACTAATTCCATCTAATAGGAGGAGAAAGTCATGTGTGGGCTGTATTTAATATGAGGACGCTATGCCTAGTCAGGGCTTTTGATAGAGAATGGAAACAAGAGCTAGGCAGGAAGTTTCCAAGCTGAACATGAGGAGACAGTCTGCCTTTGAAGCCATTTGCCTCCTGGAGAGAGACACCCAGAGGGAGAGTGTTTAGTAAATTACTCCACTGAGCCAACAGACTAAGCCGCTGAATTATGGTCAGACTCAAATGGATCAGATGTGGGGAAGCCTGTATTTGAACTGCTGGCCATTAGGAATGGTGTTTGTTGCTATGGGAACTGGTGCTAAGGAACTATACAGAGAGATTCCGATTAAAACTGGGGAGGGGGGTGGATAGAGGAAAAAGCCTGAGAGGACATAAAAATAAAAAAGCAATCCAGTTGTTGTAAAACAAGGCTCAATCCACATACTGATGGCTGTGAACCATATATTCCTATAGAGTTTGCATAAATAAATTCATGCTTTCCAATTAATTTGAGGAGAATAAAATATTGCCGAGGGACTGTTAATTTCTATGATATTTCAGGCAAAGAACCAAAGTGTAGGTGCTGTTTTCATGAGAATTTTAGATATGCTTGACTAGGAAGTCATTACATCACATTTATCTGTTTGGATGTGGGAGACATTAACAGCCTTATGAATATTCATGATGTCTGGTTAATTAAGTTAATTGTTCTGCAGAAGTGCTTGCACTTCCAAGGACAATTTTTTTTTCTCTTTTCTTTTCCTTTTTTTTTTTTTCCCCCAAACCTCTGTAGTGTCTGCCTGGTAAACATCTATCTTGCTTTACATGAACTGCTACTTCTGTCCTTACACTTTGTATTTGGCACATTTTAGCAGGTCTGGGGAGAGGGACGGTGGGCAAAGTTGCTGGTAGTGTTAAGAAAAATAACTCTTTAGGCTAATTAAAATGTTTACCTTAAGGTAGAACATTTATAGCTTTTGTGAGAATGTTAAAATTACACCATTGTTATTTATGTGAGCAGCATGTTCTTTTGCATGTAGACATCTTTTCAAATAGAGTACAATTTTCTGAAACAAAATGTGATCTTTCAGGTTTTTCAAACAAAAATCTAAAAGCCTCTATAATTTTGGAGTTTTACATTTACTTTCTCGTGAACTTTTTTTTTTCCTTCAGAATGTTAAAAAACACCCCATTCAAAGATCAAGGTATGCACTAATGAGTAGGTGACCTAAATAATTTTCTGATTTCTGGTCATGCCTAGTATCTGCTAAATTCTACAGAATTAGGAAGAAGTTGCAATGTTGCAAAGTCTGAGAGGACACAAAAATAAAATCCATCTCTAGCATTCTGAAATGATTTGTGCTTGGGCAAACTCAGCATTCTTCAAACTCACAGGGAATAAATAGTATTTTCTTGAGTCATGATATGTGTCATTCTCTATTGCACATGACAACATTTCATTGTTTTTAAATGGCTTTTCTAGAGGAATGCTTTTATGGTTTACTCCTAATCAACCGTGGCAATGGAGGAAATGTATTAAGTGGAGTACTATAATCCATCGATAATCCTAAATATTTCTAATTACATGGCTTCCTCCAAATTCTATACCATAAATCTGATTGGGAAGAAAAGATTGATTAGTTTCTTCTTTATTTTTCTTTTTCATTCCAGATGAATTAGCAATTAGATGACCAAAAGGCAAGCTGTAGAAGGTCAAAAGTCATTGGAAAGGCCTAGATTAAAATCCATAGAGTAACGGGTTTCTAACCACTTATTCTCAAACCTGGAGTGTGTATAAGTCACTTGAAGAGTGTAGGCACACATGAACACCCATGCTACATGCCTTGGAGGTGAAACAGGAATTTGCATTTTTAACAAGCTCCCAGGTAATCTTAATACTGCACATAGACCACACGTTCTATCCATACCTCAAGACACTATGCACACAAATCACCTGAGGATCTTAAAATCTTCTGTCTCTGATTCAGTATGCCTGGAGTGCGGCCCAAGGGTCAATATTTTTTTAAATTAATTTGTTTCCATTAATAACTGTCTCAAACTACTTATCTTCATCTACTTTTAAATTGACATAAAATTGTATATATTTAACAAGTACAGCATGATATTTTGCAATGTGTATTCATAGTAGAATGGCTAAATTGAGACAATTAACATATGCATTACCTCACTTATTTTGGGAAAACACTTCAACTCTACACCCAGCAATTTTCCAGTATGTAACACATTCTTAACTATAGTCACCATTTTGTACAATAGACCTCTTGCACTTAATCTTCCTAACTTAAATTTTTCCTCATCTGACAAATATGTCTTTGAGCTTCCCTTCCTCCAGGCCTTGGTACTGTGAACTCTGTGCTTCTGTGAGTTCTTTATTTTTTTTTAGTTTATTTTTTTGTTTCAAGATCCCACATATAAGTGAGATCAGGCAGCATTTGTCTCTCTGTGGCTCTTATTTCACTAGAACATCATCTTCCAAGTTTAACTATGTTGTCACAAAATATGTAATTTCCTTCTTTTTTTAAATTATTTTTTATTAAATTATTTATTCTAATTTGTTATTACATGATGGCAGAATGCAATTCATTTCATATTACACATATAGAGTACATTTTTTCAAGTCACTGGTTATATACAAAGTATTTTCACACCATTCATGTCTTCATACATGTACTTGGAGTAATGATGTCTAACTCATTCCACCCTTTATCCTACTCCCATATCCCTTCCCTCCCCTTTGCTCTATATAAAGTTCCTCCATTTCTCCCATGCTCCTCACCATTGCCATTATGAGTCAGCATCCTCATATCAAAGAAAACATTCAGCCTTTGGTTTTTTGGGATTGGCTTACATCACTTAGCATTATGTTCTCCCACTCCATCCATTTACCTGAAAATGCCATGATTTTATTCTCTTTTAATGCTGAGTAATATTTCATTGTGTATATATATCAAAGTTTCCCTATCCATTCATCTACTGAAGGGTATCTGGGTTGGTTCCACAATTTAGCTACTGTGAATTGTGCTGCTTGTAAACATTGAGGTGGCTGTGTCCCTGTAGTATGCTATTTTTAAGTCCTTTGTGTAAACCGAGGAATGTAAACTGAGGAGTGAGATAGGTGGGTCAATGGTGGTTCTATTCCAAGTTTTCCAAGGAATCTCCA